ATCTATGTCTCTCTCGGTTTCTGTAATAAGATTATCCACCACCATCACACAGACTACCTGATGGATAGTGCCACTAAACTGTCAGATGAGCTAGTCTGGTTATTTAAAGCGCAGAGTAGGCCTTTGTACCCGACTGAATAGGCTAATGTTGATGGGAGTACGAGATTGCGCTTAATAACCCGCAACGAGTACGGTGACCAGGTACTGTTTTGACAAAGGTCTTTACAACGAGAACGATACTGATAATTGACTGTTTGAAGAAGTCGAAGGAAGTGGAGACGTTTATGTGTATGCGTGTGTGCACTAAAGTTGAGATCTTTTGCCTTTAATCGAGGACCGATTTTGCTTTGGACGGAACTGAACGTTTCTATCTCGTTCGGGGTTTTGATCAGACAATCAACTCTCCCCCTCCCCGCCGTACATCCCCGGCGTTTAGGCATTTTTCCTAGTATCACTGATCCCGAAGTGCCTGTTCGCTTCCCGGTCTTTTAGAAAACGAATCTAGGTTTTTGTGCCGAAAGCTATCAATCTTGTCTTTAATTTCCTTGAATGATTTGACCGGAATCTTTGCCTCACATGTAATTTTTTTCCACGAAATTCTCGATTTTCCATCACATTTATTTTACAATGATCTGTCTGTTTGTGTCATCCTCATTGCTCTACGCTTTCTGTCTTCCGAAGCCGGCCCTCTAAAATGACCTATACAAGATGTTTTATTTAACGCCTTTAACAAACTAACGATTATCAATGAATTATTTATTGTCTTGTCTTGGTATGGAGTGTAAACGTATTTGGTTTTTGGCTCAAATGTTCTCCTCTCGCTGTTTTGTGTGACGGTCAATATGCACTTCTTTACGGGAGTATAAGACCATGCGCAATACACATACAATGCCAGACGTTGTTACCGGACCGATACGGCATACGGGTGCTCACAGCCCCTCCTGTTATGCGAAATCCATTCAGTGGTAGTGTACGGTAGTGTAATTCTCCCAGTAATCCCGATCAACGATCGATTGTTCACCACACCCAGTTGAGAGGCTTCAAACGAAGGGCTTTTGTCACACTTCGGTGAATATCACCACCCAGTCGATAGCCACTCGCACCGTGCTTTGTCCCCGTTACATCAAGGGTTATTTTCAGCAGACGTAGATAGGGATCGCNGGGATCGCAACTCCCCGGCTAGGTTGCATTCGTGAATGAGTGAAACAAAAACGCATTGTCGGTTTTAGTTTGCTCTTGTTCCGTGCAACCATGCACTCGTAGCATGCAAACCCACGACTCCATCCAAACTAGTGTATCTCCGTAACATCGCACCGGATTGATTATGCTTTTGATCAGTGTTAGGCCCTACGTTGAATTCTGGATTTCCATGTGATTTAAAATTGCATACATCCTGCAGGTGATTGTAACCCAGATTCTAATCTATCCAGGCGAACTCCAAGCTCTTCTGAAAAGTTTAAATGGCAGTATCTGTGTGCTTGGAAAATCGCGACTGCTATATCGTACCACCCACCTCCCCATCGGAAATTCTGAACTGGGTAAATTCCAGAAACTGCAACAGCTTGGTTAGTCCGTACTTTCAGGTAGGATGAAAAATGGACTCGAATATCTGTGATAACTAATGGTTCGTGCATGGTCTTCTTAACCCTTCCTGATTCTTTTTTTAATGATCAGTAGGTCGCCTCCTTAGCTTCCTTCAATTTTTAGTTTGTTTTTAGGGAATATCTCTCTCTTGAAATACACCAACGCTGACAAATTCTTGGACAATTGGATATAACGTTGTGAACAGTTTTCCTTGAAATGTCAAGTAATTTTACCCCAGAACTCTCAGTCAAACCTGACTGATTCAGCATTCCCTACGCAATCTGCTTCTCTTTGATAGATGAGCGCTTGCTTATTGCCATATCCAATGACACGGGCTTGAACTGCTGACATTTGTATGCCTTTCACACGGGGGTTATCCCGTCCGTACGCACATTCGTGCATCGACCAAATCTTCACTCTGCGTCAATTCCTCGAACTGCGTCACACACGTCGTCGGCCAACAATCACAGTGTTCCTTGACCTAAAAGGGGCCTTCGATTCAGTTGACCGTGAAGCTTTTCTGGGGTCGCTGCTCCGCAAAGGAATAACGCAGAAGTATGTAAACCTATTGCGGTCGTTGTATCTGCATACTTCTGGTAGCGTAAGGG